CAACAGCACGTTTCTATATGCCAAAAACGTAGGTCATATATACAAATACATCTACCAAATTTGCAATCACTTTGCACAACTTTGCCATCACTTTGAACAAATTTGTACGGTGTGTTAACAGTTCAAACCCATCACGTGTTGACAGGATCAACAACTTGTTTTTGAAAATTGGAAGGAATTTAAAAACATTCCATTAATTAAAAAAATACCACGATTCTGCACTATAAATGTTTGACATCACAGTAAGAAAGAATGCAAGAACGTTGCCTTACATCTTTTCCATGTGTGTGATGAACAAAAAAAATGAAAAAATAATCCAACAGCTTGTTTACTCAGGGAGTTTCCCATGTAAGTAATAAGAACGGGCGATTGCGCTTTACTTGGACACAGGTGGGGCATCTAACCACACATCTGCATAGAGTTTTCGAAATTGAGACGAATTGGCGGCTATTTCATGTCTTTAATGGTTTAAAATTGATATCGCTTGCACAATTACCTTCTAGAATTGACATATGACCTGTACATGCTTCGAGTAAAACTATGCTAATTTAACGGCAATTTACGAAATGTTTATTCACATCTTCGAGCTTTTACCTATGAGACTTGTTAATTTGATATCACAGGAAACAATCCCGAATTAAACTACTAACTTTGCAATCGTATTTCACAACTTTGTAAGCAGTTTGTCGTCGATTTTCGGTTGGCTGTTGTGATAATCTGCTTATATGTGAGGTATTCTCGAGATATTAACTTAATGTTTTCGAAATTTAACTGCGGGATTGTCATGATAATGACATAGATTAAATATAGAAGCAACTCCGCCAGTATTTCAATCGCTTTTCCCAACTTTGCACGCTGTTTGTCAACATTTTACAGTCAGCTCATTGCTGTGTTACGTTGTCGCTATCGAAGAAGGCGAAGATTTGACGTAGATAACATTACACGAATGTCCGACTAAAGTGTGTTGTCCTTTAAAAATTCAAAAACTGAAACAGTTACAACGGAATCAATTACTAATCACGACATATATTACGTTGGCTAATGAAACTGTAGAATACGTTAATGGAAACACATAATGGTTAGTTTGCCTTGGCCTCGTACCGCTCTCCGAGTCGAGCAACCATCCAATTATTCTTCCATTATCTTCGGATTAAAAAGATCAATCAGTACAAATTCATATTTACAGAATCCGTCTTTTATCATTTCCTTTGTTGTAAATACTGACGTTACACCAACAAATGCATGAGGTTGATATTGACATTGGGGCACCGATGTCATAGAGTATGGCCACATTGTACAGGCTCATCCCTATATACTGGGAGTCGTTGAGGGAATGTATTGTTACCTGTCGATGAAGCAGAATGTGGTCACGTCCTGTATATATATGTTTACACTGAATTAAATCATCGGCCCAGAATTTAATTGGAGAAATTTAATTTAATCACAGAAATGTGTCTTAGTGCATATATTAAGAATAATAACTTGTTAAATCAATGCATATAGTGTTCATAGTTAACATTGAACCTCACACTGTGTGGATACCTTTCATAAATACAATCTTTTAATAGTGTTTCAGTTTTATTTAGTAGAATGTTTGCAGAAGGAGTATAACCAATTATAAAATACGTTTCTTAATTGTGATTTTATTTCCAAATAAACAAATTGGATAAAGTATTTTGCCACATTATGTACCAAATATGTTTGTTGTTCAATGTTATGCATCCATATTTACACCGATTACCCAAAAAATATAATAGTTCGTATAATTTAAAAGTTGAATTTCATGAAAATATATTCTACACGCGTTATGTACGTCACTTCGAGTTCTACATCAAACAGATGGCGGCCCGACGACCACCACCCTTTTAATTCACCTTAGAGTTGTTTATAATACATTTAAACAGAACAGCACGTACCAAATTTATTATGAGATGAGTGTCTATCGCTTTATGCAAACGTAGTATAGTTTCAACCTTAGAGAATAATTTGGTTGTACTTGTATTATTAATCGCTATGTGCAATAAATAAATGTCATAGTACAATTATTATTATACACGCGAGACAATGAACCTTATTCTTGAATGGACGCCGGGATCTCGTTTAAAGCGGGAGAGGCAGTCAACTTGTTTTTACTCTAAATAATATTTCATCTTTTACTGTCACTGCGTCCGCTGCTGTCAATGTCCATGCTGTCCACGTAACCATGGTATTTGGAACAGAGAATAGAACATAATTTATGTGGCATATAAAAATAACATCTATTATATATGGAACTGGGCAATTTGCTAAAGGCTATACACTAAGATCTTGTATCAGTTTTGAAATCTCATTTATATGCATTACCATTAGAATGATTATAATCAATGACCTTATCTATCAGCGAAACATCTTTACAAATAAATTGAATTAATTATTCAAAACTAATAACGGGTATAATATTTTATTTTACTATGCTTGCGATATCGATATATGAGATTAATCACCTCAGTCAGTCGTGAGGTATCCCTGCAATAAAGAAGATAGATATTTTATAAATAAACCATAATTTGATATATTGAATTATACAGTCCATTATAGTGAATTACTAATGTTTTTGCTACATTGACTTATGACAAATTCGGTACAATAGATACAGACTTGGTATTTTCACTTTGTCCGTTGAAGACACAACTCAGATTCGTGAATTTGAATCGGGAGGCAAATAGTTTATATTTATCTAAATTCATATTCAAGATCAAGTGTCATAATAATCATTTACAGTAAAATAAATTAGTCATTTAAAAACAATTCTTGACATTTCTGAAAATTATTTCAAATTTAAATGTTAAATATTACTAAGCATATTACAGCACATTATATTCAATGCGTTGTTGAAGAGAACTCTAGATTGTGTCTAATAGTAAGCCATATTCACACTGTTAACAGGAACAATAAACGTCAATTTTATGAAATGGTTAATAATATACTGACAAGGCCAGACTTTTTTATTCTTTGTTTCTCAAGTTTTTATAAGGCAATTTTTTTGAGGAATGCGGAAAAAAATAAAATTCTTTTTTTCATTAGATTTGTGTGATTCTCAATGAATTAATTGTAAGTGAGATCATTGATCGGAGAGCAAAAATGAAATAAAATTGTATTCCATGTATAACCTTGTTTATCATCTGCGAATATGCAACTTGGGTTTTTGTTATGCGGCGGGCGGAAAAATGAAGATAAAATAAGTTTTTTTAGCAATTTTTTGCACATACAAGTCGGCGGGCGCGAGAAATTACGCTGAAATCAAATTTTATTTTTATTTCATTTTCGACTTCTGTTCATTCGGCGGGTCCGCGAAACAAGGGATAATAAAAGTCTGGCCTAATAAGATCCAACTGTTCACCTCATCGAACATTTGTTAATTAGTCAAACTCCCTAGAATAAAATGTGTATATTGTGATACATATGTCGATTGACACGTCACTTCCGTTAAGTGGATTGTATGGGATAATTAAGTTATTTTCAAGAAGCATGTTCGACATTATATATAATTGAAACACAATGCACACCACGAATCATCATTGTTAATCGACTTGTTGTTTTTTGCTGTACTTCTGTGTACTGTTTGATTGTAGATAATTTCTATATAAACTAAGCTTCATAATAAACACATCTGCCAGCACCATATGTTTTCGTTGAAATGCTGAAAAATATGTCCCCAAACACGACACAGTTGTTGTCACATATTGGTAGTGCAATATTTCCGTGTAGAATTTAAATTGATATTTAATTTATAAATAAACTGTCTACATTAGACTTAAACAAATATGTTAATACAACTTAGAGTGCAACATGTGGAGCAGGACATGCACACTGTTTTTTAAAACACATATCACCACTTCATGTAAACCTAATGATCTCCTCTTAGTCATTTGTTTGTAGTATGGTGTATATTATTATTAGTCGTACATTTTGTGTGTGTTTTTAATTTGTAAATTCCAAAAAAACAATCAAAAAAAAAATGGGCAGTCAATAGAGCGTAGGCTACATGATCATGCGAGTCTTAGTATTTCTTAATTATCCTAATATTGTGCCACTGATTAACATATTTCTACCCATCTATATACATCAGTCTGTTTGTTAAACCACATTGTGCATTATGGGCGGGTTTCCCTGCGATGAAGTCAAAAGTAAATACGATGGCTACATTGATGTATTAGAATTACATGAATTGTAACTCTCGACAAATTGACATATTTTACACAAAATTTTCAGAAATGAAAGTGATGCCGTGTTTTGATAAAATGTAGTTTTTACCTGAAATTAAGCAAGTATCAAAATAATACTATAATATGCAATTATGAATGAATAAATACTGTCATATTATTTTCATATTATTGGTTTTTCACACTCACATCTTGACAATGCAGCCCAAACTATAATATAATAGGTCAACGACATGTATTGCAGGAAAAATCGATCATAGTTTTAGTGACTACAAGTAGATAGATATATTTTATAATAATAATATAGTAAAACAATTAAAACTCTTGTAGATTATAGTTATTAGTGTACACAATAAAAAAGTTTAAAGGATTGAACAATGGCAATAATTTGTATTTTTTTAGATATTCAGGTAATCATATTAGCTCTAAATATCATTTTCCGTTATCATCTACCCAGCTACAATTGCACTTAAACCTCAACATGACTTGCCACTTCGCCCATTAATTTTGTTTGAATAATAAACAATCTAATTGAATGTACTTCATTTGTTTGTTTTAGCATCCAATTAAAGGAACATTTATTAAACAGATAAACATACCTGGCGTGTAATCAATCATCTTGCCATTTTAGGTTGCTTTAACTTTACAAACAAATCCATATTTGGTGTCACATGGAGTATCATTCCATCGGTCTGTTAAAAGAGACAATAACATATACTGAAGACGCACACATTGAGGAGTATCCGCTGAATGATTTCAAGTCCCAATAAATCAGTTTATTTCCTGATGCAGTGGACTTGGCTACTAAACATCCCGATTTCGTGTAGGCTATTGCCAGAATGGAACCAGTGATGAATACGTGTTGTTTATTTGTGTGGTTTGACCTACACAAGTTATTGTCATCCACTCCTTTAAAAGCTCCCCGTGGCATGACGTCAGTAAGGGCGCCCGTGTGTTTGATGGCTAAATCATTTTTTTTGTGGCGACATGTCAGTCCCCACAAAAAATTGGATGGTCTATATAAATTTCATTTCATTTAGAAATCGTCTCAAATAACCAGATTCTTTTCTTTAAAATTTAACATATCCTTAAAATTCATGAGAATTCATCCATAACTTGTTGTGTTTTAATAGAAAAAGAAAACATTTCCTAAATAGCTGTTCCATAAAAATCTGAACCACATCTCTATCAAAATGTAATGACTTCGTTTCTGTGTGAAGGGCAACCTCGGAAAATAATGTCATATACAACCTAGTTTAGTTATCTTGCCAACAGACCTTGGCGGAGGAAACAAGGCAAAAACAAACTAATTTAATTAATTCATTCATTACAAGATTATGCTAAATAAAGATTGACATGGATATATTGACTGTGTATACCATTTGTTGTATATTTATACTAAACTATATCATACTAGTTTATCACAGAGAATGAAACAATATTTTTGCACTGTTACTAGTAACATATTCAGGTATTAGTACATTAGTATTACTCCATGGTCCAAGATACGTGTCATACTTACTACTCAAGGCGAAATTACTATGTACACAATCTTCTCCATCGTTATTGTTTGGCTCGCCACAATCCCAATTTGACCATACATAAGGACTACCATCCGTCCAAACCCAACTTCCTTCCTAATACAGTTAATATGTGAATTATTTAACGCATACCAGGCATTGTTTGAAGATTAAGTGTCAAAATAATGTTCAACACTTCATTTGCGTGGCTTTGCAATATGTTAAGTGGAGAATTAAAAAAATAATATATATGTTCCTACCTGTCCAATGTCGTTCAGTCCAATCCAGAACTCAACCTCGTTAGTGCCAACTACTTTATATACAAAGCCTTCTTCCATTATTGAATGAATTGATGCTAATTTACACCCAGCTGCTAGCGTCCCACAGTAAATATCAGCATCATTGAAAGTATAAAGAAACGTGAAGTATCTATAACAATAACCATTGTCGGCCCAATATACGAACCCACTGGGACAGGTTCCTGGAAAAAAAAACACCCTGTTCTGTTATTATGCACTTTCAACGTGAACATAGTTGACACATTTGTGAATAATATGAGGTTATTACCAGAATACCTCAAAGTATTCACGAAGACAGTACAGCGGGAGTAACGACGACCGATGCGCAGTGGAGGGCGATGTGATGGCGTACTGCCCGAGTGCATACTTTGAAGTATTCTCGTAATAACCTTACTATTATACATCTTTTCCTTTCAAGGATACATCACGGGAATGCCGAAATCCTTAATGTTTAGAACAGAATCAGCGTACTTCTTTGTATGGTGTCGGTCCAAACTCTGGTGGCAGCCATGTTTGTTTTCATTATTAAAGGACGCTACGCGCGTAATCATTCCATATTTGGAATTCGCATTTCCTTATATGGTAGGATGAAAATACCCTATAAAATACCACAAAATTACTGCACGCTGTAACTAATGGCGTTACGGTGACAGATGTATGATAATAATATAATGCATTTGCATTCTAATAATATTATCTGCACCGTGAACTAAAGCTCTTACATATATCATATGACAGTTACGACTGTAAAACTTAAATATCAGACATTTCGATCACAGGTTAAGTTGAGTAGAGCTGCCTAGTATGAACATATATTTGGACAATTTTATATTCCATATTGTATTTACTTGTAATCAGAAGTGGGGTACGCTGTGATTAGCAAACTCAATATTAGAATATCACCAACAGCCACAAGCGACTTGACTCCGAACTCTTGCTCATCATAAACTACGTAACATTCAACCCACCTTGACCTGTGACCAGGTTTATACAAAGCGCACAAGTAATTATTAGAAGGATCTTCATTTTAATACAGTCATACATTGCTTGCTGTGTAGAAATCAACAAACACATATTAATATTTCACAATATCGGAATCCCTATTAATTTGTCGTTGAAAAACATTTTCCCTATATTTATTTATTTAAGTTGTTGCATGAATCGTGTTTTTGCGTTTGATTTTAAAGTGCTCAGTTAAAATGCCAATACGGAGTAGTGATGACAGATTTCCTGGCAAAGGGTACCACACTTACAGGAGCCTATTACGCGTCACTTTTGATGAAATTAAGAGATCAAGGCAAGATCAGCAAAGGTATCCTCCTCCTGCGGTCCACAACTCGCCAGTTCAGAAGCACAGGCGTGTGGCTATGAAATTCTCCCTCACCCCCTTACTCTCCTCACCTTGCACCTTCTGACTTTCATCTCTTCCCAGCCATGGAGTTGTTTTTGAAAGGAAAGCGTTTGCCAGATGATGCAGCCTTGATTTCTGAAGTTGCATCAAACGAGGGGAAATGGGTCGGGGCATTACTTATTGAACGTCCCTCGTATATGGAGCGTATTGCAGCAATAACAGTAATACTTGTTTACTTTCATGGTGCAAAATAACAAATTTCAAGCTATAGCCATATAACTGCAACTGTCTATCCGAAAATACGAAATATGTTGTAAATGCGCCTCGTTCCCACAGTTGCTAAGTTGCGACAAAGCTTAGATTCAGCGCCATTTTAACAATATCAACATGTTATATTAAGTCGACGTCAATTGTTTTGCACCAAATGGATGCACTATTGGGCGTTACATGAATGTTGAATTAGAATATGATATTGTATCAACATTAGATAAACATCATAATTTTGTAATGAATGGAGATTAATTTTATCGTTCATAACTCTAACATACTCAATTTGTGGTTGTATATTGTTGTAAAACTAACTGAAAGTTCTGTATGAATAACGCCTGGATAGTGGGTTAACTAAAGCCTATACGCTTTCCTGAATATGAAATATAGTCTATGTGGCGAAATGCACTACATGTCACTCGTACATACAAAACACGTAACCACAGATTATGTGACACATTAGAATTGGTCGGTCGGTCATTCATTCATTCATTCAGTCAGTCAGTCGGATGGTTGCACGAGGCTGTAACACATGTTGGGGTGATTTAAGGCTTTAAATTCACTATCACAGAAACAATATTTGTATGAATATACCAACAACTAACAATACAAGTACCAAATACCTTTTTAAATGAGCAAACACAAAGTTAAGACAAGGCTTTATAAGTGTAAACATCGGTTAAACCTAAATATAAAGTTCAACTGATAACACGTGTAAGACAGCTGCCTGAAGTGATATGATTACATTTAAGTTATCAGAACTAGGTCATCTCCGTATATATGTTACATCTTGTTTGAATTGACTCAATGCTAACCAGAATGTCTTGTTGAATGTTCCCAAATATAAATCGAGGTTCGTAAAAATAATATTAAGGTAAACATTATGTACGGTGACCGCGGCATATGGTTAGATTCAAATGTCTGTTATCAATCAGTTATTATTATCACAGTACTATTCAACTAAAATACAGTTAATGTCTATGATACAACGTATTTCATATGTGTCCGAGCTTGGCATGTTCTTTGCATGACAATCGAATTTACCGTTCGGTTATCGTCCATGATCGTCAAATAGAATTAGATAAATGTCATATATTTCGAATTTCACCACGAAATCACTCAGTAGTCGATCAATAAAAGAACGATTGCTTTTTATGCCGAAAAGTCAATGAACATATTTACCAATAAATATGAATGAATGCAAACAAGTATTGAAGTGTTATATCACGTCTAGTAGCTCAATATATCTTTCTTACAGCATTATGCGGCTTCGAACTATACATGCACTCAATGACATGAAAAATGAATAATACAGACCAATATACCAATAAGAACAACTGCAATATGATACATACCTCTTCTTAGTAGGTGTAAACAGATCAACTACAGACTGGAAATGAGCTCCACTCAAAGCAAGTTCAATAAATATGCACATTTATCGATTATTATTGACATACGTCACCGACATATGACAGCTTGCTTAATTCACATGTGGGACCCATGAACTAGAGTAATCCAATAGTAGCAAAATGCCATAAATACTGTTGTTAAATGTTTGAATTGTGCGATGCCGTTCAAATCTACCTGATTATTCGTGTGTGTAAACTCATATGTGTGTAAACTTATAAATAACTAAGAGAAAACCACAATACTACCCTGCGTACCTGACATTTACTTGAATGTTTACATACAGATGTGCTTCAGCTAGAAGAATTAATCAATATTTCACAAATTATCTTATATCGTATCTTATCTTAGCAGATGATAAGGCAAAACTAACCTCATTAAAACTAGTTTATCGTTTATAGTTGCATGCATATATTATCATACAGAGCCGTATACGGATTAGTTGTATTTGTTTAATGACATCTAATCTGACAATCATATCACGTGACCAGCCAAAATTCTACACTAATTCGCTTAAATTGCATTTTTCGATACTTTTTAAAGCCCAGATTTTTGAAAAAACTCAGGAAAACAAAAAATACCCTATTACTAAAAATATATTATTTTTCACCAGCCTATAATTTGATAAAAGCACTATATAACTACCAGAATGGCCCCTATCTACTAATATATAACAATAAATTTCTCGAAAATAAACCTGGTGACCACCAATTTTTTTAAATCAATATTCTTATATTATCCGGGAGAATATATAAATTCTGGGAATTTGAAACCATGAGTAGACTTCTACTTTAAGCGATTAGAACTATTCAATACACGGGACTAGTCTTTGACAATGAAAACATGGAAAGTAATAAATATAATACAGACCTAATTAAATCGCACGTTCTCCAAACCAACCTCGATAAACAACTTACATGCATACATTTTCCGACTAACATATGAAACAAAAGTAATATTTTTCAAAATGTATTCACAATATTTTGAAGTATTCAGCCACTTTTCAAATAGTAAAACAAGTCGATAAGACCTCGCACGTACACCCGATCTAAACGATATGACTAAACTAACATTATCAAGCTAGTTCATCGTTATGACAGTATGAATAATGTCACTTGTTGTTCTAGCTGTTTCATGTGATTTTATATTTTAGATCACATGGGTTAAGTGAGATAATAAACTTAATATATATCTAGGCCGTAAAAAACATCTTGTGAGTAAGATTAATGTTATTTTCTCAAGTCAAAACCCTTTGACGTAATTATGAATTTACGTGGGGGAGGGGCAATGTGTTATCTGCGAATTATTTGAAAAGATAGGACTATTCAAGTGTGACATAGTTGCCATGATGTCGATGACACACATTATAGGCTCGATTATTATGAAAAAAGACGAATATTATTTAAATTTATTATAAACATTTAGGTTACCTATGCATTTTTTATCGTTATCCTATTCACTTTTTACGAGAATTAACTGTTGAAGCCAAGATGGTCTTCTATATTTTAAAGGTTGTGTACAGCAACCATTGTAATTTAAGATAGACAATACGGATACAACACTGTGTTGTGATGTCATCATTTGAAACTTGTCAGCAGGCAGAGCACTGTTGTCCGGCGTTTACTTACCGAATCAAAACAAAACTGATGAAAATAAGGAAAACTGTGCTTATCTACAAGAAAATACTAGGCAACAGCACAGTCTTCAGAGAGTTGAGCTAAATGGTCACTAAAGTTTGATAGTAAAATCTAGGCAAGACTAATTCTTGGTTTGCAAGCTGCACGCCATTTTGCCATTATACTTTGGCAGAACTTCCACTATAAACGTTCGACGAACACAAACACAATGGCTCCTGTTCTGGTGCATTTCCACGGTCAACGGTACACGAAGTCAAGCGCTGTAACGTTTCCATAGGAAATCTAACGCGTGTTTTTGTCAGTTAAGGTTTGGTGTGTATAAGGTGGCAAGATATATTGAGTTAACTTTGAAATTAATGCGAACGCTGACATAACAAGGTCACGCACTAGTTCAGTGTGGGCGGCTCCAGTGAACTAGTTTACATGAAAAATGTCATTCCCGCCATAACGACAAACACAAATCGTCGTCTGGCCAATCCCAACTTCGCGAGAAACACCGGGTACCAACGCGTGAATAAACGTCGCTCACCAAAGGCAAACACGATGACCCGTTTTATCGATGTCGACGAATCCCAGTTAAATGTGCCCGTAAATGCAAGATATTAACAGAATTCTTCACAGCAGACTAAGCGGGGAGTACGTGTTACGCCACCAACTTTGAAATCCTTCCTGTCGTTGAACTCGCCGACTTACTGCGGGAATTTTACGCTTCAGCTCGAAAGCAAGATGGGGTGCAATACAGCAAGCCGTCGCTGTCTGGTTTACTTGCTTCAATCCATCTACACATCACTGCCCCCCCCCCCTGATCATCGCAAAATTAACATAATGTAGGATAGGGAGTACCAAGTTTGTCTATTTTTTTTGTATGCGTGTTATGTTGAAATGACCGCTGCCCCGGCACACTGTATTGTGCTTGTGTGTGTGAATGGGAATCGTTGCGTGAACGCGTTGACGTTATATACAGTATACAGATTACAAGGCCCATATAATGTAGACGCAATTTTGTTGAATGTCTTAGGTACAAGAATTTTGTGGTAGCCAAGTGAGGAACGCGGGGGAAAGTAGTTTTGTTCTGGCTGTTGAGAACATGTCAACAAAAATTCAATTGTTCACTAAAATAATATACGCCTCAAATATCAAAGCAATCGGGTTGGTAGTGTTGTCAGAAATATCATTTTTTCCCAAAAATCACGAAAAAATATTTGTCAAAAATGGATAATTGATGATATCAGCACGGAATGAACAAATCTAATAGAGGTCCACTCAAGGTACCTACATACCAAGTATCAAAGCAATTGAGCTGGTATTTTTCAAAAAGAAATAGAAAATGTAATTGTTGACCGACGACGACAGTGGAGCTAACAAACATAGGCCTGAAACTTTTATCCGAATTGATTAAAAAATATGTTTGCCACATCTGTAATTTGCATTTTAATATTTTATAATGCGGCTCTAAATCTGGCGACTAAGTGAAGGAAAAATCGTAGGTTGTAGCACGATTATATTAGCATATAAACTTGTTGTTCCCAGTATTTATTTAATGAGCTAAACATAACATTTTGCTGACCTGTTTACCAACTCATGGTATTTGGTTACTGAAAGAAAAAGACAGTGAAATGTTACATTGACAAACATTTGACGTCGGTTTGATAACCAAAATTTGGAAAATAATAAATCGCACAACATTATCAGAACTATTCGTCTTATTCTAAGTGAAATAGAATACACTATCTTCCATTTTGAGTTTGATTTTTAGCACATTCTTCAGAAAATTTAGAATCTTAAATCATATATATATATATAAATCTGTACATGTAATAACACTGAAAATACAGCTCGTATCTGTATCCAGTTTAGAAGATTTTTTTAATATAGCACATCAGTGTTGAATTTCTATATCACGGTATTTATGTGTATATACATTTAAGAAAAGCCTGGTTATCACATGAATAATTCGCTCGTATAGACGAAATGAAAATATTTAATCACTGTTAGTTCACATTTGTAGGTTATACGGTTGTGGGCAAAAGTCTACAAAACAAAGCCGTATTTGCTTGAATGATGAAATTCTATTTTCAGCGCGTTGTGCCACATACCAGATAATTGATAAGGTTATGCTAAGATAAGTAAAACTGGGTACAACATAAATATTAAATAACAATTTTCTGACTGTTTGAAGAATCCCCCCTCTAAAATAACGTATTTTTAATTTTAGAAGTATTAACAGGCATTTTTTATTCAGGAATATACGAAGTTATTCAAATACGCTGTTAACCAATTATTTTGCTACTAAAAAGTTCGTCTGCAAACAGTAAAATAAAATATTCACACCGGCATTATCGTTCCCATTACCAACGAATGTAAACCATACAATACTACCCCGTTGAACAACTACCGGTATATGCATTTAAATAAATTTCACATTTCTGAAGGCGTACGAATACATGATGTAACATTGGTGTATGTACTATAAAGCACACAGAAGAGCTTACACGTGATGCCTGTTTCAGCAAGCCTATAGAATAAAAGATAGTGATTAAATTTTTTGGAAGCTTTCTAGAAATCAACAAATGTACAATGCAAGCTTCCTTATTGGTTCAATAAACTCGTGATGATGATGTGTACGATAAAATATTGTCAACAGTCACTGTGAAAGATAATTTGCCAAATTGTTCTTCGGCCATTTTGTTATTATTTTGTTATTTATAATATCACAAAATAACTTGTTACTGATGATAAAATTGAGAAATACACCTGTGATCAGGATTGTGTGATGAATTTGTTTACGCGTATCTGTTAATCGACTTATTTAGCTGATTACTAGCGAATGGCTGTGTTATGTCTGTCATCGTTTAGGCTCATGCGAGGTCCTGGATGGTATTAGCAGTTACTAATATAGTGAACGATTAATCAAAAGATATGACGTGTTCAGTACTTAGTGTGATTGGCTGTATGATTGAAGGTTACGCCCTAGAGTCTTTAAACTGCTTTGTAATTGGTTAAGGTTTTGAAAGTGAATAAAGTTGTTTTTAGTTGGTCTTGGCGAGAACACCACGAGATATGCAATCATGGGGCGAGTTTTGACGCAGTCTAGAGTCTAGTCTTGGGGCAGCCTTGCGATAGTCTTGAGGACTTTTCCCCAGGGCGCTGTGTCTTATAGAGTACTCGACTAACCGACTAAAGACGAGAGTTGAAACGTATTTTGTTGTGTGCGTCTATTTGACTGTAAGGATTAAGTGACTTTCCCGATCCCGAACCTCAAGGGGACGCGATAGAGACACGAGACGAGATATTCCCCCTGGCACGTGTGGAGAACCTCAGAGGAGAAGAATTTCCCCCTCATAATTGCATAACAACTTGATGAAAAGCGTAATGTTACAATCAGATATATTACTTGGCAAATGTTAAAATAGGAATCGTAGGCTTTCAGTTCCGATAATTATCGGCAGCACGAAGTGACACAGTTGGTCAAATCACGAAGGTACGTGTGTGGTAAGGTTCGGTAGTCGTCGCGCTGCGCATGTGCGACATTTGTGTTTAAAAATCATTGTTTTTTCCACAATTCAATGCGCTCGTTTAGTGGAAAACACAAGGATGAGGTTTGACCTGCGCGCAACTTGTACTAATAACCGCCGCTTACTCCTTCCATACCCTCAAATCACCTAAAAACCCTAATTAAAACTTGGTAACGTTTCAGTTTGTACTCGTTGATTTGCGCAACAGTCAAAGTCGCCATCTTTGTTTATATATGAGACCATATATCTCGCGCTTGCGTGGCGCGATGACTACCGCCCTTTAAACATACAGCAATTGCGCATCGCAATTTCTAAATACGAGCAATGTTATGCCATAGTATATTACCTATTATGTGCGTATCTGGTTATAACAACGTTTCACCAATGCATCTAAATACGCACACTCACAAACCTGAAAACCTGTGACATCTAATATAAAACGATGGCAAAAATACAAACCGGTGCCATAGAATTACTGTTACTTAGTGATTCGAAAGCTGTATTAGACATTTTGATGCAATGTGTCTGTACCCAGTATAGGTACTGTTCCACAACTTGCGTGATCTGGACAAAGACATGGTGTCTCTTAAAAGTGAAGTGAAACTTACACTTGCGCGTTCATTATGAGAAAAAAAACACCCATCTGAAACTGCCTGATTAACTAGTATAACCAGTTTAAAGAAACTGCCCGATAAAATATATATTACTGTATTAACAATTAATTTACCAGTTCTAGTTCGTGGAAAATAAAAGTAGTTCTAAGAACAATAGAGACAAGGCCGAATTTTGAATAAAGGTGCAACCTGAACAGTGGGTCGTATGAGCAAGAGCTGATAATACAAATACAATAATTTGTTCGATACATATCGAACGTAGTGATACCAATACTAGTTGCGATCACACGGTGAACAACTTCTCATTATTCTTCTAGTTAGTGGGCGACGATCAAATCGAACAAGCGAACACGAAAATGTTATGTTTTTTTTTTTGAGGTATTAATACTCAATAATAAGCGATATGTGGCATTTTTTATAGGTTCCTTGTTATGCTATGAAATAATATTCATACAGATAGCATTAAAATAGGTCGGCAACGTATCATCAAAATACAAATCATATTCAAGTATTTGTCGTGTGCAGAACGCATAATGATTGACGTCTTAGCGTCGATAGTTGGCGCCTATGAGCTGGCGAACCATGTCATTTAAACTTGACGCTATTAGCTAAATCTAAGATGAGGACAATGCACGTTGAATGCTAACACAACGCGTACACAATATAGTACGCAATTACACTATGGTGTGCGTGACGATATGAATGAGATAAGCCTCAAAATGAACTCCGTCCATCAAACCATGACAATGAGCACTTGGTAGGATGCCTGTAAAACGTCAGTCTTCGTCGATGCCTACTGTTCCATGAATAACGAACTTCACGACCTGAGAACACACAGTGAGACGAAGAAACATACCTCCTTGCAATTCGACATTAACTGCTTTTGTATCATTCACGATTCTTATTGTATCTTATTTCAATCTGTTCAAGATTGGGAAATATAGATTATGATTGTAAAAGTGGGTAGATCGATTTATTAAGCCCCTCTGATTGTTCAATATCGAAACAGAGAGACAGGTTACACTCGCTGATTGAACAGGGATTACACCCACAATGCAACAACGACAACAACAACATTACTTAGAATTTCAGTTAATGCGAATTGCATATAGAAAAGCCACATTATGTGCTACCACGCGACGTATACAAGGTATGTGTATACATTTTTTGTAAATATGAAATTGGAACATGCACTGCGGGGCGACGCTGGCGTTTTAGTATCATTCTAGTTGCAGATATTTGAACTTGAAGTTATAATTTTTTTCAGTAAACAAAGAACTATAAATTCAGTAGGGGTTGTACTACGCGCGTACGCATTTTATCGTGAAAAACAATGTTTTTTACATGCGCTGTACACATCAAACAACGCGTTATGATATTCTTTATATCAAAGGCAGGGCTTGTTAGTCGCTGCTGTTAGCGCTCCGTTTTCCAAAGATAACGAGTCACGTGTGTCCTTATTTAATCCACCCTGCCATATAATGGTGGAGTCCTTGGACATGCCCGGGGAACATACAGCCGAAGATATACGGCGCATACGTATTCACAGTACGCCATACCAAATTCATGCTCATATGTCGTGCTTCTTGAGGGGTGGCACCTACACCTTATTCTACGAATAGGCAGCATCATTGCAGCATGGTTCGTGCGACGATCTTCATGTGTATCCTTTTCGTGATGATGTGCGACAACAGTTCCGCATTGCGCGATTTGTACATGATGGGGCTGCTGCCCTTCAACGGCGCTTGGTCCGGAGGAGACGCACAGCTAGTTTCAATGAACATGGCTTTGGAGGAAGTGAACACCAGAGAAGATATATTACCAGGATACCGTCTGCAGTTAATCTATAATGACACAGAGGTAAACCGAATAGTTTTTATGTTAAGTTTTATTCAGCGTCATTTTAATTTTAACTCACATTAATTAACTGTGCATTTTTTTTTCTGAAACTATCCGGTTTTGTTTCGAACAATCTGATTTGTTGACATGCTATGCGTATTACAACATTGTGCGTAATATATGATCAGTAAACTAATACTTAAAATATTTCTATACACATTGATTCGACAGCAGGCAGGGCAAATCATAGAAATACAGTATACGTATTGGAGCATAATTGCATCCGCTGACGTATGTACACAAATTGTGTAGGACTACGTTGAACACTGCTACGTACGACTTTCGCTAATAATTCATGACAACTTAGCAATATGTGCAAGTCAAAAGCATTAGGCGTTAATGATTAATAGAGTTTTCAAGTTTAATCGAGTTCGAGTTATGGTCAGCAAAAGACATTTTAGAATTTATTGCCCCGTTCTCGACCGCCTAACCATGGATTAATTTCGTGAATAATTTACTTTATCAAACTATATACAAAGAACTATCCGCGACTGTTGTTTTATTTATAGCTGAAATTGATAAGAACGTTGTATCAAATACATTTCACAGCGCACATTGTCTCGTTTCGCACATACTCAAAATAAATAAAATATAGTATTGATCCTATCGGCAGGATTGGTTTGCATTATCGCGTCGTTCATATATACTACCGTGAGAAATCTATTAACTGGGCTCTCACATTTTTCGTTTGGCTTATTACTGGGATTTCCATTCACGTCAGACAGTATTATTTATGCAGTTTTGAATATAGTTAAAAAAATGATACGCAGTTTAATACAGAGTAGTGTTACAGAGTACATTGTTGTTCGTATATGAATTAACTGAAGGACGACTCAACAAAATAATTGACAAACTAGTTGTAGCCATGACAGGATGTTGACTCTTGGATTAGGATTGTCATCTGATTCCGGCATCGGATCTGATTAAGGTTCTAGAGAGTCACTGTGTATCGATGCAAATAAAGTATAATATTTCTGGTGTACATGGAATTGAAAAAAAATTGTCACTAGCAGTGACTATGTCCAATTAGTAAAAAAAATGCCCCTGAAAGTATATGTAGTAGCAAAATAAAATTCGAAAAAGTTTACTGCATGTGATCTTTTCGATTTTATGTATCAATTCCAATACTAAGCCATTTAAATTTAGAGACAGTACATGACATTCGTATTCAAATTGTTAAAATTGTTAAAAATAAGCGTATCGAATATATCAGCACGGTTACTGACGATTTCAAATGATCGGGGAGAGTACGACGAGGTTGGGGATGCTTGCGGGTAATAAAATAAATGCAATTAATTTACCAATATTTATAGCAAAGGGTAGCCAATTTGAATCCGGCCATAATATAAACAGATAGAGACGTGTTTCCATATTTGTTTAAATCAGGGGAAAATGCCAAACTTACAGACCAAAGATCTTGTAACATTAGGTCAGCCGCAAAAGTCGACAACGTTCGCATTAATGTGTGGAAAATTCCTCTCATATAAACACATAGAATCTAGAACACTATCTCGGTCGAGTGTTACTTTACTGATCCCACTAGAGCAAAAAACAAAATCTGACAGTTCCCGTGATAAATTCGGACCATACAGCCGCTAATTACTAGTCTTTTGACGCAGCTCAAACACCATTACAGTGATATAAAAACTCGGAATAAAAAACCTCATTGTTTCGTTCTTTTAGACGTCGAAGCATGTATTTGTGTCGATATATCAACATCAAGTGCACCCAATATCCTTCACATATTTCTAATTGTTTTTATTATTCATGATTCCGCAAATTCCGCCTTTCGATCACACATTACAGGTGTTTTGTGTTATTAGTTTTTTTTTACATAATAGTCGTTTGAGAAATGTCGAAAATATTTTCTCTGAGCAGTATCAATACATCTATTATGTTTATGGTTTGATAGTCACTAAATTATTGAACTATATGAGCGTACACCGACTGTAAATAACCACTCTCGTAATTAGTTGCTACTTTCGCCATTTTATATAACATTATTGTATATTATAATCACAGTTAAACAAAAGATTGTATTAAAACACCTTTCACTGGTAGCGGTGGTCGTCGCGCCGAGTCTTATTCGATGTAAAATACAATGTTTATTTCTATGAAATTCGAATACGTGCTGCGCGACGACCACGAGCCTTTAAGGTTCCAAATAACCACATGCTACCTGCTGATACACATAATTGCAGCTTCCTTTTACTATAATTTGTATAACGCACAGCAACATAATAGTATTTTGTAAAATTGAATATTGTAAAGTATTATTCAACTTGTTAGCACTACTTACAAACAATCGACCTTCAAATAACTATGACATTACTGGCTCATTAATGATGTCTGGAAATGTACATAATGAGTAGGGGGTGAATGATCACCGTATATACGAGTGTGTATATTTTCCTGTGAACATAACTGATACAAGTAGTTTCTACACTGAGATGACATGATCAGAATTTGATTGCCTGCATATGTGATTATTGACAGTTTAATGCGAATAAATGTTACTTTTTTCTGGTTGTTTATTCCCGCATGTATTCTTGCAAATTTTGTAAATAATGTTAACGATGTGTGTACACGGAAGCTATATTATAAAGTACTATGGTAGGCGTTCAAGTACTACCGAGAACATTGACATGAATCGAGGATTGTCAGAACGATGTAGAAAACTATGCTATAACACAAATACGTTATCATAATGATATTATCTACAAAAACAATATACCAAACGCGATCTGATTTATCATCGTGTTATTTGGGTAACGTCAGACTACCGTTCGAATTCGAATGTCGCGATCGCCGAATGTACGACTTACCTTAATTGTTAGTTTATATAATATTTGAACACTTAATGTACGACGATTACTGCCATTTAAAATAATGATTCACGTTATATTACAAAGCAATATTTCATTCGCACAAGCTTACATTTCCCGATAGTTTAAAGTGACATATTTCCCACTTCGAACCAGTACAATTTTTGTTTTTAAAGAATAGTTTGTACTGATGTTATGGGCCGGTAAACATACTAATACACAAACTTGTGAATTCGTTTAACGGAGATCAGATTGCAGTATTAGTTGAGTTAAAGCATACGATACAAGGCGGAAAAGAACTTGTTAACAAACAAGCTGCTCGCTGATTGGTCGGACTGACTTGTGGTTGGGTTGTATAGCCAATCAGATACATTCTTATATGTAGCGTATCATATACTCTAGGGTATAGTTACAATTGTGTATGCGTTCTTCATAAATCTGAACAAGAAGCGTTTATGATCACATATCATAAACTATTGTCTAAAACGTACAAGATCACATATCATAAACTATTGACTAATACGTACAAGATCACATATCATAAACTATTGTCTAAAACGTACAAGATCACATATCATAAACTATTGACTAATACGTACAAGATCACATACCATAAACTATTGTCTAATACGTACAAGATCACATACCATAAACTATTGACTAATACGTACAAGAACACATATCATAAACTATTGTCTAAAACGTACAAGATCACATATCATAAACTATTGTCTAATACGTACAAGATCACATACCATAAACTATTGTCTAATACGTACAAGATCACATATCATAAACTATTGTCTAAAACGTACAAGATCACATATCATAAACTATTGACTAATACGTACAAGATCACATATCATAAACTATTGTCTAAAACGTACAAGATCACATATCATAAACTATTGTCTAATACGTACAAGATCACATACCATAAACTATTGTCTAATACGTACAAGATCACATACCATAAACTATTGTCTAAAACGTACAAGATCACATACCATAAACTATTGTCTAAAACGTACAAGATCGCATATCATAAACTATTGTCTAATACGTACAAGGTCACATACCATAAACTATTGACTAAAACGTACAGGATCACATACCATAAACTATTGTCTACAACTATTGACTAATACGTACAAGATCATATACCATAAACTATTGTCTACAACGTACAAGATCACATACCATAAACTATTGTCTAAAACGTACAAGATCACATATCATAAACTATTGTCTAATACGTACAAGGTCACATACCATAAACTATTGACTAATACGTACAGGATCACATACCATAAACTATTGTCTACAACTATTGACTAATACGTACAAGATCACATACCATAAACTATTGACTAATACGTACAAGAACGTCTTCATTAAAATAAACACGTTGCTGAGAAACTATAACTAACATTCGTGATTTGCATATAAACCAAAGTTTATATTTAAGTTTCAGTGTCGAACAAATACGTGAGCGTTGACTGCAAATTTATAACTTTCCTGAGATTGTATACCAAAGCATGACTCACGCTAAAGCATAGAAAGTGTAACTGAACTATAATGACCATTAAACGATGTTCACAGACTCGTTATTCAACACTTAATCCGAACAAAGCGACGCGTGTAGAAGTGATCGAAAGTAAATCAATTAATTGATTATTTTTTCAGTGGACCCCCATTAACAATTTAACTACTATTATTTGTAACTAAATCCTACGACACAATTTTAATTAACTGCCGTGTTTAATTGGGAGCAACTCATCTACATCATCAGGGAGATATGTGCTTAAAATAGCCCCAAATAATTAATGTTTTACACGTAGTATTTGGGGCACAGGAAAAAATATTAGTTAGGTTCTACGCTATTCCGTTTCAGGAAATTCCGATAATACTAACTGGATGTTGACGTATTCACATTTTTGTTTGTCATTAGCTTATTTTAGCTGTTATCTTTTGTTCACTGTGTGACCTTTATTTGTTGAATCAGTTCCATATCTCGCTCACTACAAAGTAGCCCTATTGAGTGTTTTTTACGCTTTGGGCTGTTAAAATCGTTATAATAATGACTTTAATGATTAGATTGAATTAGCTAAATAATGATTGCATTCTCATTTCAGTTGATAAAAGGATATATTTGTACGCTTTTAAACGTGAAAACTCGCATATAATTATCATTATAGTAGTATGGTTTTGCTTTAGAATCATTATTTCTCATTGTGTACATTTTATTTTGGAGTCTATGTATTCAACGAATTGAACACAATATTGTATTGTACCTACTGAAGATTGGTCACAGGTAATTAGGTAAAATGTGAGAAATTTAATACTCTTTAAATGTTGTTACAATGCCATGACGAACTGCAAACAGAAAATGAGTCTTGAAATCATTTCCAAGAAAATGTCTTACATCTCATCAACATTTTGGATTTGAGCAAAATAAATAAAATTAAGGTTCAAAAGATAATAATTCAGCCATTTGTTCGGTGCAAGAAGTGGGAAGATGGATAGAAATCACAGACAGTACCCATGGCGTAATAATTCATGAGCAAAATAGGGTGAATACAGGATTTCTAATTAGGTAAATGTTGGTGAAACAATTTTTACTCCTCTGAAAATGTGTCAATGTTTACTTTGCATATCGTGTGATTCGCGATCTGTGCTAACAAACAACAATTTGTAATGCACGAAAGTAACAATTTAATGGGAAGCAGATCATCTAAATAACAGTTTGCACTGGTCATTGTTGTTAAAATTGAATTAATGGCATTTGAGGATCTCCGGCAGCAATTAGCGTTGAAATGCCATACTTGACTGAAAGTAACATTAATATAAAAAATATTCCAGTGCTATGCCTCATTTAGAAATACTATTACGATCTGCTATATTTCATGCGACCAAAGTAAGCGTTCAGTTACTAACATTTCGAGTAACACATTGCATAAAAAAAGACTAATCGTTCAATACTATTGAGACTTTAGCTTGTATAGTTAAACACATATAAGGTACGCATTTCTGGAAAATCAATAATTGTTTGTTTGTTTTTTTAATATGGCACTACGCCATGGCCTTGTCCTGACGTTTGTAAGATGTAGTTATTTAACGGGTGATGCGCATGCGGTGTATCCTGTGGCTGTATTTCTAAGAGCGTCAGAACATTTTGTTATTATTACATGTGTTCGCATTTTTTTAGCGTGTGATAACGACGGATGGAGCTTGGTAATGATGTGAGAACCCAAAAGTTGTATTATGACGAGTTTGTGTGTCGGTTTAAACAAATAATAAATGTTCCTTGCAGTGTAATGTTGCAACTGGAGTGAACCAAATGTTCCAGATGCTCTACACTCCACCAATCAAAATCATGATTCTGGGAGCCGGTTGCTCATTCGTCAGCGAGGCAACTGCGCAGACATCACACCAGTGGAACCTTAATCAGGTAATCTTAATCTTCCGATTGTGGCAGTACATGAATGTAACTTGTTTTTATTTAAAAACAAAAGTATTTACAAATATTGACAGCCCAATCACAGTGTGTTAGTTATTGAGGTTTTATTCTAATAATTAAGGTGAATTTAAATGTAAACTTCAAATGTAATACCTGTCTATAAATCTCTGTAATTAAATCGACTAAGCATCATCGTCGTCAATAATATACTGTCATTTATTTATTTATTTTGTTCTAGTTGTCATATGCATCGGTATCTCCTTCTCTGTCTGACAAAACTCGGTTTCCACGATTTCTACGCATGTCCACGCCAGAGACAGCGCACAATCCAGCTCGGGTGAAAATCTTAGAATCTTTTAAGTGGAAAAAAGTAGCAAGCATTCATCAATCTTTGGAACTGTTTGCTAAAGTAGGTATAACTTTGACTTTGCTTGTATGTCACATTTCATTTCCAAAATTTTAGAATCTAAAATATTTAGTTTGAGTGAATTTATATTGATCCCCAAAACCACATTCTTATAGCGTGTACTTTAAAAACAAGTTTGCTAGGTTGCACTTTCGCTTTTTCCTGTATTTTTCCCATCTTGAACCATACATCGAAATAAATGTTTTATGATTAAATAAAGAAAATAAAATATTTCATTCACTCAAATGCACCAGGGTACAGGGACAGGGAAAACTGTGGTAATCCTTTGTGATTTGTATTTTCTAACGTTCAAGGTACAATATATATTTGAACTACACTGTAGTCGTAAACATATAAAAAAATAATGATCACGTTTTTCTTATGCAACACGTTATTAGTAGAAGAAGTAAACCAGTAGGCTTTGAACGAATTTGATACATCGTGTTCGCGAAAGCGGGTTATAAATCAGCTTGGAGTTGACAGTTTGCAGAAGATGTGAAGAAGATTACGTTACTACGAGGGTACCTCAAAGTATGCACGAACACAGTAAGCGGGAGTATCGATGATCCGACGACGTACTGTGTCAGTGCATACTTTGAGGTATCCTCGTAAACCTTATTTATACATCATCCAAAATCGAAAAGTTTAGAACTGAATCAGCGAACTTATTTGTGTGGAGTCTGGTCAAATCCTGGTGGCAGCCATGTTTGTTTTTATTATTAGAGGGCGCATACGCGCGTAATTTCCTAATATGGTAGAATGAAAATTTATTTATTTATTTATTTATTTATTTATTTATTTATTTATTTATTTATTATAGTATATGAATAGAAATAGAAACTAATCATTTATCACATGTGATAAAGCATATTTGAAAAATAACTGCGCGATTGCCCACGTAAATGAAAGTGACACCTGTGCGTGCACAGCTTAATATGGGAAAGCTGTTTTTGCGGAAGTCAATTTTGCTGAGAAATCATAAAGCAATAAGCGATTCTTTATAATCAAGATTAACATGACGAGACTACGACAAGTTGTGAGGTCGATTAAAAATACTTAATGGTTCGTGGTGTATGTATGGGGCAACATGTAATAACATACGAGTAGGGTACACAACCGAGACTTTCTCTAAACATATATAATATATGTGACGGGGTTGTTTTACCCACATAGTTTAATCATGCCTATATAAAACACAAGTCAATTTTGACTGTACGATATTATTAATTTATACAATAAATATTTCACGGAACAATTGTTGTAACATATGAATTGTATTATTTATGCATGTGACAATATATTTATATATCTACATTTGAAATCAGCTGACAGAAAATTTATTGGAGCGACTACAGACCGCTAACATAACCATCCTGACATCAGAAATTTTCGTATATGACCCAGCAGTACACGTCAGACATCTTAAGGTATGTTATTTTATAAGGATATATGCGAATACCTCGTTGATTGCGATTTTTACCATCTAACAAATAAAATTGTAAATTTAAGACATTGTGACACACGAGTTTTCTTTGTTCTTTTAAAAATGTTTTTTTCAGTGTGTCATTTAAAATTAGTTACATCGTAAACAGAAAATGTGTAGGACACCCTATATGTATTTAATAAATATACGATCGCTCTGTCGTTATTATAGGTAAAAAACGCTTGTGATAGTCACATTCAGTGTACTTTCATATTCTGTCGTGTGTAAAGTATATATACCGAATTGCGTGGTATTGAGCCGTGTTATATATTCACCACATTATATACATAAATGTTATTGGGGCCAGTTGTGTAATGTCAACCACGCGCCAATTTAATTTATCTTGCGCTTTTTAAATTTCATCACACTAGAACCGCATTTGTGAAAATTTGAATATTATTTATTGACTCATTCCCTTATAGTTACATTGTCTAAAGTAAATCTGTAGAGCATGTTTGCAATATTAATTGAGTTATTAACATATTCTCAACACGTTTTGTTGGCTCCAGGAATTAGATGCAAGAATCATATTCGGAAATTTCTATGTTGATGTTGCTCGAAGAGTTTTCTGCGAGGTAAGCAAATTTGATAATATGTCTAACTAATTGATATATTGTAACATTTCCTTCGGCTTTAGCTTCAATTGGCAATTTATGTGATCTTAGTGACATATAATATGTTTGTTCGAAAAGTCGTCATATCTATTTGTTCGTCCAAATTCGTTGCTCTCGTTCGTATTATAATCATTTGAACTTAGTCAAATTCCTAAAACTGTAATGTTGTGTACATTCTGGGTTTGGTATTTGTGTGCCATGTCAATTGACTTCAAACAGGTATCAGCTGCTGCTGTAATCGACCTAAAAAACTACATGCATCATAAACAAGTATATTAAATTAACGTGTATAATATTATATTAACCGATACATTAATATGACAATATCCGAATTATCTACAAAACCTGAGCTGATTTAGTTGTTGTATGTCTGTTACAAGGCATATAAGCAAGGTCTGTACGGTGCTAAACATGTGTGGATAATTCAAGGATGGTACGAAGCAGACTGGTGGAAAATAAAGGACGAGAACATTGTGTGCACGGTAGATCAACTATCTGAAGCAGTGAAGGTACGGTATGATAAACATATGAATTGCTTAGAGGATCAATATGGACAACAATACATATGATATTTGTTATGTATGTTCGTTGAAACATTATAGTATTATAATATAATATAATTGAATTATATGAATAATTATACAAGTGTTAACGCACATGCGAATTTGCACAGACCATTGATGGATATTTCAAAAACCGTGTTTTCAGTTGACGACTGTGTTTCAAATATCGAACAAGATTTTTGAGAATACCCGATTATCACATACTAGCAGAAATCTCAATCGAATTGTGTATATACAAGTTAAATAAATTTGGATTCTAGTAAGTTTGACTCAATACAGATATTCGATGTGATAAAAAGTGTTATCTTATTATCCTAATATTATTAAACCATTTCAGAAAATTGATAGTTAACAGAGTAACTCACAAAAGTAAAGACAATGTAAATTTCTCCCCAACAATGCATCGAATGTAATAGTAGTAGAATATTTGTATTCGATTCGAACTGCCTTAATAACAGAAAGATGGGGGGGGGGTGTTGATTATATAATTCTCGGAAATGTCAAGATTTTTTAAATGGATAACTTATCTTACTGTCAATGATTAGAATGGCAATTGATATTGAAACTATTCGTCTTCAGACACAAATTCACGACTTAGAGCAGAGTTTTCAACGATCAAAGTAACAATACCAAGTTTGTATCTATCTCTATTATAGCACGTGTTCGTAATATATGAAATGGGTAGGTTGAATCGATCCCAGCATATTGGGAACGTTTACAATCTCGTCCAAGGCTCATAATCACAAACAAAAAATTATGAAACGTATAGATGAAAACAAATATGAATAAACCAAATAACCATTTTACTGTCACAACAACAACGCAGAGTGTTGTTGAAACATTTCTTCGGTTTTGGAGCACAACTGTTTTCTTTTTCATAATTCACTATAGTAAATACTATTCGCAATTTTCTACAATCGATTGAATATATTAATGCAAACATATCAATGGGTTTTTGTACAATCGTTATCTTCTTCATTTTAGGGATACCTCACGACTGATACGTTTTATTTGGATCCAGATAACAGCATGGGTATTTCAGGAATGGTAAGAGTGACGTCATTAATCTCGCATATCAATATATAGCGTATTGAAAAAAAATACAATATGCAAGTTATTAGTTTTAAATAATTTATTCAACCTAATTGATGTAAAAGAAATTTCACGGAGAGATAACATCACCGACTATGGGGTCAATAGTAATACACATCAAAGAGATTTTCAACCTGATACAGAAACTTAGCATATAACTTTTAGCAAATTTCCCATTTCTATATATTCACATCTATTTTCATACTGCCCCCTTATAAATAGAGTTATTTTCATACCCCCCATATTTAGTGTTCTATTCTCTATCACGTCTATTGTTGTATATACACTGGTTACATAGGCCAGCAGAACAGTGGACGCAATGACAGTTACAGATTAAACATTATTTTGAGTAAACAAGTTGTTTGTCTTTCTCGCTCTCAATGAGATCTCGACGGCCATTCGAGAATAAGGTATATTCTCTCGTATGTAGCGTAGTTATTATTGGACCTGATTTATTGGGTAAACTTGAATTCAAATTCTACCGTAAGCTGAACGCCGAAAAGAGGTCGATCATCCATACTATGTGAGTGAGTAAATGGTAGCCAAACTGATTACGGATAACACTAACAGATGCGATTTTGGGGAATTCTTGGTTAAGGGCAAAATGCACTATATGGACTTTCAGAAATTGTATTTGCATACAAGTGTAAGATAGTAGAAGACAGCAGTTACAATAAATATTGCCTGACACAAAATACTTTACAAAAATGTTATATACTTCTTCAATCATATCTTAGACTCCCGACGATTACCAAACGGAGTTCAATATTCGTGGGGGAGAAGAGACTTATGCCAGTCGGCTCGCACCACAGGGATACGACGCAGTATGGGCTGCAGCATTAGCGTTGAACGCGACGGCAGAGGATCTGGCAGAAACAGGTACTAACACGCTTGCAACATATATATGCATTGCATATGCAATAGATAAAAGTGTACGTTATCGAACTGAATAACATCCCACTGATCAAAATAAATTGCGTTGAAAAAAAAGCACATCAAATGACCGCCACTACATCAGAAACGATAAGAAATAGCACGCTTGTTTTGCACTATCAACAATTATACAGAAAGGCAGACGTACAGATGGTCAGAGCCCACATTATTATATAATCTTCATCCCCCGAATAAGATGACGCCAAATGAATAGATGTGTGTTAATAGAAGTCAGATTCGAGTCACCGATGACCGAACGTATACAGACATATATATTGATGTAAATTGCCTCGTTGCATTTTTTCTCGAACACATTAAAACCAAATTATAAAATACGAGTGTTTAAATATTCTAGGAGAATCATTAGGTGAGTTTACTTATGATGACGAATACATAGCTGACATGATACTCAATAACATTAGGAGCTTAGAATTCCAAGGAATCAAGGTAAGAAAGTCAATTAAGAATACCTATGCGCATATCGAATACTTTCTGTCTGGTTGGGCCGCTAATGGTTCCTCGTGGCGTCAAACCTTTCTGAAAACTTGTCTAAGTGCCAACGAGCTTGAATACAACCATTAATTTAAGTATTAGATTTTTCACCAATTATATTGATAGGACGATTCTAATTTATTTACAATTGTAAGTTTGTATATCGGGCGTGAAATTAGTTTTATAGAAAATGCACGCATCGATTGCTGAGCAATTTTTCAATTATTTTGAATACGTTCTTCAATTATTGAACCAATGATGATTAGAGAAAAATTGTTCATTAACTAAAGTAAATTTTTTGATATTATCTTTATAACTGCATCTATTTGTGCTTCCGTAGGGCCCGGTCTCATTCGATGAAAATGGCGATCCTCGGTCAGTTTCAAAAATATTACAACTGCAAGGTAATAAGATTATAAATAAAATTTGTATTGAGTCTCGGCAAATAATGAACACACTGTCCACCTCGATGAACATTGATTTTTACAATGCATTTGCCACGAGGTCACAGTGTCGGGTCAAATATTAACCCACAATGCACAATGATTATCAATATTTGACCAACTTGTCTGCGGCTTATAACCATTTACACAGTTTGTGCAACACAGGGATAAATTACGTAATGGGCACGAATAAAGTTTGATACAATTATATGCAAACACCCGGCACTGCACACACCATAGCAAAATCAGTAACGTTCATGCAGCAAGAAGGAAAGACAACATTCCAACTATTCCCATATATTAGTAACATATTGCATACAATAGCGCATAAATAAATTGTCCAGGGTAATAAGAATTCGTTAATGTTATAAGCATAGTTGCCCCATTAAATTGTACGTAGCCGGCGATTGGTGTTCTTCAATTGAAGCGTTGAACTCGACCTTCACACAACCGTAGTAGTAAAATTTCCTTTCCAGTTTGACTTCAGTCTTTGCAGACGTAATGTTAAACGCCAGGTTTGGTTACGATACATTATAAATCCTCCTAAATAAACACTATGGCAGATTCGATGAAGTACTCGATACGGTGATACACAAAAACTTAAATAGATTTTTCTTCGTATGCACTGGATGGAAAGGTAAATACACGTTGCTGGTGCCGGTGCTAAATTCAAAAATTCTGTTTTTTGATAAAACAGACGCCCACGAATTGGTGTTATGTCAGCCATAATTGCTACTGACTTGTGATACCAATGAATGTTTCCCTAGATCTGTAAATCGAATTGATAAATACCTACCTAGGAATTTGGTTTGTTTGGTTAAAAAAACACAAAAAAACGTAAACGTGTGTAAAATGTAATTTGTTGTTCGTAATTTTGGTGGATGAATTGCGTTCCACAGGTTACGGTTCAATTAACACCAATGCCAGGTAGGGTGTGAGTTACATCGTTATTTAAAAATTTAGCCATTCTGATTTTTCATTGGCGTGTCACACTACATTCACGTTGACGTCATTTTCAAACTCGTCTTGTGTGCGTATAATTGTAATTGTCATAGTCATCGAAACTCACTCACCGTAAATTTTAAATAAGCGTCAAACGAGAGAGTGAACATCCTAAAATGTTGAGGAATATCGTAATAATAGTAACTGCAATGTTGTTGATCATCAGACGGCAAACGAATAACAGTGGGCATAGCTAGGCCATCTGAAGAAATCCGTTGGCTTCAGGACTCGCCTATAATATGGGAAGGTAAGGCTCCTGACAACAAGTTACAAAAAACCCTGTTGGTTTTAAGAAATGTCACACTTTTGAATTAATTTAGTTATATTTATTACTTTCATATGCGTGAACTATGTACAAATCTTTATATTTGCGCACGACGGGAAATAAAAAAGATGGCGGGTATGAATCCCTAACTGTGTTATTTTTTGCACAACCAATAGCAGGACGACCACCTGTCGATGGAAAGAAAGTTACAATACTTCCTGTACGCATTACGTTATCGCTGTACGTACCAATGTGTGTTTTATCCGGAGTGGGGATTATGTTAGCGATGGCGCTGTTATCATTCAATGTACTTAATCGCGAAAACAGGTATGGATATTTTAGATAATTTACAGCGGGACTGTCGTCAAAACTGCGCATGTGCATGTGCATGTGCATAAGGAGGGTCTCACACAACAACGAATGTTTGCATATTGATAACATTTATTCATTCAGTTTTCCTACATGCAAAACAATTATGTTCGAATTCGTTCGTTCTTTTACATAGATAACGTTTTTATGTGACGATATGTTACTGTTACGACCATTGTTCCCGGCCGTAAGCAATGTTTGTATTTTAGCTATGTATAGCGCCGGGTCTGCGCAATGTAGATATTTTGTTTCGATTGTGCATGTTCCGTTTTATCCCCGATTATACATGTCCCGCCCTCATCCACTTGTCGCCAGGCAACCAAACACAAACAGGCTATCGGACCAATATTTCGGATCCGAAGTGGACGAAGGGGGAGCATAAATTTTTCCTCACAGTATAAAAGGGGGCCAGCACACACAGTCCCCAGAGAACGGTCCTCCCAATCCAAATCAAGGGCAATGGATAAGTATTGTGTCGAACCAGCTCTAACTGTACCCACAAACACGCTAGCACAAATAATGAGACTTAATAATTCCAAACAACAAACG